TTTTTTTTTAGACTAAGAAAACTCGATAATCTTACTTTATCTCCAAGTAATAATTCAGGTGCTCGATACCACAATGTAACAACAATAGGTGTATATGGTTTTAATGGTGAACCATATTCACGTGCAAGACCAAAATCACCAACCTTTTTATCAAAAAAAAAGAAAAACAATTGAAAAAGAAAAGAAAAAAAAGATTTTACTTTTAAAATTCCTTTATTACTAAGAAGAAGATTTGATGTTTTTAAATCTCTATGTATAATCCAATTATCATGTAAATGATTAACACCAGCTAATAATTGATGCATTAATGTTTTAACTTCACCTATTGAAAATGGTTTTTTCATTGTATGTGTCATTAAACTTTTTAAATCATGTTCAACATAATCCATTACAATATAAATTCGATTCATATCATCACCAACAACAATTTCCTAAATTAAATATTATATACTCAACTGTTCTTTATCTTAAACTAATTACAAAAAGAAAGATCTGCTTGAAATGATTCGGAATCATTATCTTTCACAATAGAATAATGAATATTTTTGACTTAAAATCTTATTTATGAGTAACAGTATTCGACATGGGCCAGTTTTATTCGAAACAAAGAAACTATTATCGCATATGAAATTGCCGTTTATCTTATAAAAACTTCGACATCAATCAACTGTTCATGACTCGACCCGAGTCGGACACTGATGAGTAGATCTCACGATTACAAGAATATCTTAAGGGTTTCGATGAAAACAATCAAAGTTCAAAAATCGATCATTTTATAATATTCTTGACATCATCAGACCTACCTATAGAGAAATTTTCAGATCAAAAATATTTTTTTTTTGTTCAATTTTCCTACCAATAGATAGTATCAAATAGATTTGAAAATTTTTAAAATGAAAAAAAACAACATAAAACTTACTCTAACAGTACAAACATTTTGATGTTGAGATTTGAGAATACAACAAATTTCTCTTAATGATGTTATTGGAAAACCTTCTTTTTCTTTTTCCATTTTTAATCGTTTTAATGCAACTATTTCTCCTAAATTGAAAAAAAAAATAAAAATTAAATTGAATGAAAAATTTAAATTAACCTGTTTTTTTATCTTTGGCACGAAAAACAACTCCATAAGCACCTTCTTCAATTCTATTTAAACATAAATATTCATCAACACGACGACAACCTTGTATAGCTGGATAATAATTAGGTAATTTAGGTTTATCATCAATTAATTCTTTTTCAAATTGAGAATTATTCGAAATTGGTGGTGTTATTACAGATTTTGATGAAGATGAAGTTGGACTTGATGATGATTCTCGTCTTGAACGTTTTTGATGACGATGACGATGATGACGATGATGATGATGACGTCTATCACTTTTATTTTCATCATCTTCTTCTTGTTCTTCTTGAATATTATCATCATCATCGTCATGATCATCAAAACGACTTCGATGTGGAACAGGTGGTGCTGGTTCTTCTTCACCTTCTTCATGTTCATCATCATCTTCTTGAGAATGATCATCTATATATTAATAAATAAAACAATATATTAGTTGATTTTGTTGTTTTTTTTTTCTTTACCAGTAGATGAATTAATTCTTTGTCCTTTTTGATTTTTATCTTGTTCAGTTGTTGTTACTGATTGATGTTCTTCTTTTGAATGATGATCATCACTTGCATCAGATATTGATTCTAGAATAAATGAAAAAGAAAATAAGAAAAAAAATTTTAATATAATATTAACCTGCTTCTTCTCCTTCTTCTGATGGTGATCTTGGTTCTTTAGATGAATATCTTTTTTTTCTTATTCGATGTTCTTTTCGTTTATGTTTAGATGAATCTTCATCAAAATTATCATCAGATATTGATGATCTACTTGATGAACGACGACGTTTTGATTGTTCTTCACTTGAATCTTAGATAACAAAAAAAGAATTTTATTATTTAAATAAAAATGAAATACTTACGTCGTTGATGATTATCAGGTAAATAATCCATTTCTCCTTCTTCTTTTTCATCTTCATCATCATCATCATCATCAACAATTTCTGAATGATATAAATCATTATTAAAATCTTCAGATTGTTTTCCACTTGTTATAGTTATTGGTTTTGAATGAGAAGATTTATTTGTTGTTGATGTATTATAAAATGATGTTTTTTGACTAACTTGACGAACAGATGATTTTAATGTTTTATTTGATGTTGATGATGGTTCTTCATAAATAACTGTACGTGATGAACTAGTCATACGATTTCTATCATCATCTGATTGACGAGAATGAGATGAACTTTTATAATGATGATGTTCTAATTTAATAGAAAAAAAAAGCATAATTTATATATTAAGATAAAATTATTTTTTTAGAATTAATTACTGCTGCTCATTATTGGATTTTAACAAAAAAAAAATCTGAAATAGATTAAAAAGAAAATAATTAATATTCGATATAATAGAATAAAGCAATAGAATACTATTAGATAGTATTATTCATTTCTTCTTAAATATCAATAATGAAGATGAACACATATTAATCAATATCGTTGTCATATATATATGATAAAGAAATAAACGACAATTTTGAAAATATTTCATAAAACTTTGCAATACAAATTTGCTTTAGAAGTCTGAAAGATTCGACATACTATGAACAATCAAGTTCCATAGATGATATTACAAGAACATCTATGCCTTATGCAACTATTATGCTTCTTCATATAATACAAGTGATTATTTTTTTCTTCTATAATACAAAAAACGTTTTCGATTTTAAAAAATAAATTCCTAAAAAAAAATATTTCTTGTTTTTGTTCGAAAATGATCATCAATCTGATATATCCCGAACATATAAAACATGACAACTTCTATCAATGATTTTTCGAAAATCCGTAATAATTTCTTCTTCATATTAACGACACTCTATATAGTAATTGGTAGAGCATAGTAAAGAATATCTGACTGTAACGGCCTCGCTGATCTCAGGATGTACCCAGTAATTTAACTCCATATGAATAGTTTATAATTAAATGATTTCTACTAATCTTCTTTGTTCAAAAGTTAGAAAGAACATCCGTTAAAAAAATACAATACCAATTAATCTTACGTAAAGAAGATCTTTTAAAGCAACAAAAAAAAGAATATTTTAAATGCATTTACCTCTAGAATTTATTTTTATCCATTTAAGTGTGACATAGTTGAGGAGAGAGAACAAAAAAAACGTTTGATTAAACAATTTTATTAATTCCTTTTAAATAATGTAAAAGTTAAAGAGAAAATTAATTGATAAACATAGAAGTGTACTTTCTTTAAAATTACCTTTCTTTTCATAATGATATTTTTGATTGGTATTTTATTTAACCAATCAATAAATAACTTAAATATATATGCATAAATAAATTTTTATTTTAATTAATTATCAAAAAAAAATCTTTTTTTTAATTTAATATTTACAAAATTAAATAAAAAAAATCTTAAAATAAAAAATGCATAAATAATTTATCCTTGATAAAATCTTCTGATCCTCTATAATTTATTTTTGCTTCTTTTTTTTTTTTAAATGTGTATATACAAGAGTAATGGTGGTTGATTATTTATTTATTTACGAGCTCAATGATTGACTAGTTCACTAATCATTATAATATTATTTTGATATTTAGATGGTATGAAGTCTCATTACGAACGTTTAATATCGTTCAATAGAATTTATTTAAATATTCGTATTGATCATTTAAAAACAACAAGCAGATGATTATCATTGTTATTCAGTCTCGATATAACTAGTCAATTTCATTTTATTTATATTCGATATTTAAAAACAAAATAAAAAGAAACGAAAAAATAAAAACATTCAAGATGATGTGCTGTTTATCTGCTGAAGCACGTGAACAGAAACAAATAAATCGTGAAATTGAAAAACAATTACGTCTTGATAAAAAAAATCAAAGACGAGAATTAAAATTACTTTTACTTGGTAAAATTAAAAATATTATTTTTTTGAAACAAAAAATAATTTAATTATGTAAAATAGGTACTGGAGAATCTGGTAAATCAACATTTATTAAACAAATGCGTATAATACATGGTACTGGTTATTCCGAAGAAGATAAACGTGCATTTGTTAAACTTGTTTATCAAAATATATTCATGGCAATGCATTCAATGATTCGTGCTATGGATACGCTCAAAATACAATATAGAGATAAAAAAAATGAGGTTAGAAATTTTATTTTTATTTATTGATTTTATTTATTAGTTTTTTGTTTTTAGCAAGAACATGCTGCACTTGTAAGAGCTGTTGATTATGAAACTGTAACTACATTTGAACCACAATATGTTGAAGCTATTAAAAGTCTTTGGAATGATCCAGGAATAAAAGAATGTTATGATAGACGAAGAGAATATCAATTAACAGATTCAGCTAAATAGTATTATTTTGTTTACAAAAAAAAAAGATTTCTTTTTGTTTTTTTTTAAATTAATTTTTTTTTTGTGTTTAGTTATTTGGATAGTATCGATCGAATAGCTTCACCAGGTTATTTACCAACTGAACAAGATGTCCTACGTGTTCGAGTCCCAACTACTGGAATTATTGAATATCCATTTGATCTTGAAAATATTATTTTTCGGTAGATATTTTTATTTTATCTTACGAAATAATGTTCTTAAATAGGCTAATATCTTTTTTTTGTCGAAGCAGGAGATAAATATATAGCAGAAAGTATCGATTTAGTCGGTAGAAAAATAAATAATAATGAGATAAAAAAAAATTTAAAATTAATCCGCTGATGACGAACTTTAATTAAGTAAAAAAAATCCTTGGCAATCATAATTCTTACATTTGATTTATAGAAGGAAATGTTGCTGCTACCAGTGGCATCTATGTTAGAACCTTATAAATATTGAAAAGACTTATTTTACTATATTTTGACTGCGATACCAAATAATTAAAACATTAACATAGAAAATTTTTATTTTATATACGAAAAGAAACAGATAATTATCCTCTTTATTAGTTTATTTCGTTTTATACAATTGAAAATTTATAAACAACAAGTTATTTTTCGCAATTTTGTTTTTTATTGTGTGTGTTACACAATAAGTATAGCCTTTTGAAAAGTAAATGCGATATTCAAAAGAGGACGACTTATGAGAAAATTATTCGAAAAGATTTGTTGCTTTTGACTCTATAGATTTTCCTTTAAAGTAGCAAATTTACTAAATTTCAAAATGATATAAAATCATGTTATAATTTGATTGAGATAAACACTTGTAGAATATGTGAATATTAGTTATTCTATATGAAATATCTGTGAATTTGTGTTGTACAACACTTAGTTTCGATATCTAAAGAGACATAAGTCCATATCATTTTGGATATATCCTAGCCTATATACAGAAAATATTTTTTTTTAAAAAGGACCTTAGCGTCAGTTGACTTTTCCAAAGGTCGTCAAGTTGAAAATATTTCGAAACCTATCGAATTGTACTTAATGAAAATTTCTATTCGAAATTAAATAGTCGCTCCGAAGCACTTTTATTTGATAATTAGCGCACCCTACATGTATATATATGAGATGAAAGTATTACTTGATTAGTATGATTTCTATTGTGTTGATAAAAGATTAATATTTTTAAATAAAAATTTTGTATTTGAAATAGAATGGTTGATGTTGGTGGTCAAAGATCTGAACGTCGAAAATGGATTCATTGCTTTGAGAATGTTACATCGATAATGTTTCTTGCTGCACTAAGTGAATATGATCAAGTTCTTGTTGAATCTGACAATGAAGTATGACAAATATTAAAAAAAAACAAAAATTTTTTTTTCATCTAAAACAAAAATTTAGAATCGAATGGAAGAGAGCAAAGCATTATTTCGTACGATAATAACTTATCCATGGTTTACGAATTCATCTGTGATCCTTTTTTTGAATAAGAAAGATTTACTTGAAGAAAAAATAATGCATTCGCATTTGGTTGATTATTTTCCTGAATTTGATGGTTAGTGTGCTTTTTGTTTTTTAAATTCTATTTTTGTTTTTTTGTTGTTGTTATTAAGGTCCCAAACGTGATGCCCAAGCTGCACGCGAATTTATTCTTAAAATGTATGTTGATCTCAATCCAGATAGTGATAAGATTATCTATTCACATTTTACCTGTGCAACTGGTAAATAAAATATTTTATTTTGCGTTTAGAAAAAAAACAAAAACATTTTTTTATTTTAATTAAGATACTGAGAATATTCGATTTGTATTTGCTGCTGTAAAAGATACAATTCTTCAATTAAATTTAAAAGAGTACAATTTGGTTTAGAAAAACAAATAAACAAATAAAAGAACGAATAAAATTTTCTAAGACAAACAGACAGACATAAAAACAAAAAAAGCTCTCTTTTGTCTAATTATCTTTTCGTTTCTTATTACTTATATTCTCTATATTCAAATACTCTATTTAATTATATTAGAATGGTCGTTTAAATTTTTCGTTTATCTTTTCATTTAACTGTGTGTGTTTTCTCGTACAGTGTGCGTGTTCAAAGTCAAATTCGAGTTGTTTCCTCTAGTTAAATTTTTCTTTTTTCGTTTTTTTTTTGATTTTCGTCTTTTGTGTATCTCCGAACACGCTTTGACAGAGAGAAAACACTAAACAACAGTGACACATATACACACACACACATATATACTTTTTATTATTTGTCTGTTTGTCATATATACATACCTCGTATCTGTTTTGTACTTGCGCACTGCGCGTATTATTACTATTGCTCTCTAGTCTCTTTCTTTTTTTTTTTTGATTTTTATGTTGTTATTTCGTTGTCGTTGTCATTGATTATTGTGTCTTACTTCTATCGTTTTTCTCTACGCATTGTTCAATATTTTGAATGACAACAAATATTTGTTGGTGGTGTTTATCATTCAATAGCCACTATATCTAAGTGTCTAGTATTCGATCTGATTTTATTTCTGTCAATCGCTTTTAGCATCTTTTCTCTCTCTCTCTCTCTCTTTTTTTTTTTATATAATCTCTTTCTTTTTTTTTCTTGCGTGTGTGTATTTTTCGTGTGTGTGTTTCTGAACTACAATTATCGTTGCGTTGCAGTGTCGCCGCTTCTATTTCTCAATTTCTTTTTTTTTTTTCATACTCTACTATTACAAGAAGGTTCTCTCTTTCTCTTTTTCTCTGGTTTTTCAATTGTATAAAATAAATAAACGAATAATGAATAAAAAAAATTTTTTTCTTTTTCTTTAAAATTAATTCATGCATAAAAAAATAAAAAATAAATTTCACTATCTTTCAGATATTTTTCTTGTATTCAAATTAACAAAATATTTTATGTAAGTTATTTGATGAATATAGAAAAAAAAATAAAATAGTAAATAATATCTTAATTTGAAATATTTTATTTATCATAGATATAAATCATGGCTGATCAAGAAACTACTGGTTTAAGTGCTGCTGAATTAAAAAAGAAACGAACATTTCGTAAATTTACATATCGTGGTGTTGATCTTGATCAATTATTAGATATGAATAATGAACAATTAATGCCATTATTACATTGTCGTGCACGACGACGTTTATCACGTGGTCTTAAAC